CAATATTCAGCAAATCTTTACTGAGCTAAGACTATTTGTAAATCATTGAGCTGGGCCCAGTGGGAGGATGTGAAGGTGAACAAGGCATGTTTATGCCCATGGGGAGTTTACCAGGTCAGCCCCCCTTCTTTATAATGGTTTTCTAGGAGACACAGGAGAGCAAGAGCAGTTAAGGGTATTCACTTACCTTAGCATCCCAGAATTGTCATCCTTCTTGGGGAATTACGTTCAAGAACAAAGTTAACCTTTTTTCCACTACATGATATGAAATTTTGGATAAGATATTCTTCCTTTTCTCCCAAGTCCTTAGATCTTTCTACTTTTGGAACCTGGATAATAGTCTTCTTGGCTTGAACAGATTATCTTCTGAACTTGATCATATGCACTATCTCTTACCTTTAATGCAATGCATAGGCCAAGTCAATTTTAAATTGTTTTAAATAAGCTCAATGTAAATAGGCTTCATCTCAGAGTATGTGAACATGGATAAGAGTTACAGTCCACAAGGTCAGAAACCACTTTCTTTATACTCCATTGAATGCATATCTTCCCTCTTGTCCTATGACTTTATCTTTTTTCTTGTTCCTTTTTACCAAATAAACAAATGTAGGTATCAACTGGGAAGGAGAAAAGGGGCAGAGAGCTGGCCAGTACTCCCTTTTCTGTCCATCACCTACGAACTGGAGCCTTGACAAATTGACTTGCTGCTGGCCTGGTAAGAAGGGTCCTGGGCCTCTTGGGGAGCTCAGGGCCTTTGCCTGACTGTCAGCCTCGGGCTGCGGCGTGGCCAGGGCTTCATGATTATCAGTGGGGCTTAGCCCAGAACATCTTTCCGGCTGGCAGATGTTCTTGATTTCACTAGCAACATATTTTAACATTGATGGGAACGAATAAAAGATGGGGAACTTGTTGATGATGTTAAGAGAGGCTTGAACCTCAGTAAGAACCCAAGATTTCTACCACAACTACTGCAGAAGCTCTGTGAGGATTTCAATTCATTCACCACATCTGGGTTTCTTTCTCAATCTCCACTGGCACTACATCTAGATCACAGGGCTGAACTAAAGTGTTATGCTGACCGACATTCAGCCAACAGAGCATCAGCCTAATCTCACACTCATACAATGAATGGCTCCTCTGCCTTGTAGAGCCTCCACTAGGCAAAGCTCCGCAGGCCCCCCGAGGGCTGGCTCCATCAATGCCTATAGACAGTGTGCTTCGGGTAATCTGGCTTCCACACTCCCTGTCATCTGTTCAGGATTGAGTTTCTAGCTTCATATAGACATATAAAACTTATAAATCCTGCTGTATGATATGCTTCTCAAGGGCCAAAGGGAATGATACATTTTGGAAAATAGTTGAGAGAATCCAAGTCTGTGTTCTCAATCACCCTCTCCCTACTTCTAATTCTTAAGTGCTTATTTCAAGGATCCACAAAAAGAAATCCAGGACTCCACTACCATAAACACATTTTCATACCCACAGTCTGAAGCAACCCTGCATGACTACAAAAATACCCTCAGATTGGCAAATGTCATTGAACACTGAAACTAGTGAGTAAGATTCACTGTAGGTGGCAGCTTTTGGACAAAAGCATTTGCCTTTTCTTTCAGCTGAACTCCTTCGTATCTCTTCACTTTCTGGACAACACAGACTCAACAGGTGACCCATCTCTATTCTTAACTTTGAGATAGCATTGAAGTTTGCTTTCTTTCTTTTTTTTTCTGAGATAGCCAGCTGACCTGCCTTAAACCATGACAGACTGCATGCTGAGCTGGCCAATCACACAGCACAACCATGACTGACTTGGCTTGTCTGGAGAAAGGAAATGCATATTTAGCATAAAGAGAAGATACAAGCAATGGAATAGTTGGTTATACATTATAGCTTGTAATAAATGAAAATATCAAGTGCATTTTAAATGATTAATGTATGAAAACTATCATCACTTACTGTGCATTAATAAAAAAATGCACACTTCCCATAGCGGTTAATGGGGCAGGCCAAGGTTCAGCTTTGATAACGTGCATAGTAATGCTCAGTATGACGATGAGTTGGGGTAGCTGGAAATTTAGAATGGTTGCAAGTTTGGTGTAGTATTTGGATTAGCATCTTAATCTGTGCCTTGTCAGCCTCATCAGTGCACGAGCTAGGCATTCTTCCCCCCAAAAAACTAGCAAGAAATATGGATGCATCTTTTTTTAAACTTTTTCTTTTTTTGTTTTTAATCAAGAATAATGACCAAGGTACCTGCTTAAACAAATACTACCAGCATTCATTAGTTAAGATGGTTACATGTAAAAGAAATGATGCCAGATAGTAACAAATCCAAGAGAAGTTTATTATGAAAATGGCACCTGCGGATGAAAAAATTAAGTTACATAAAGACAACCATGTATGTGACATGTATGAGAATCTACAAAAGTATAAAAAGAACCCTGTTGTAAATGAAGTATGTACATTTCTGATTTGCAGCATTATCAATGGTCAATGAAAAAATGTTTCAAAATAAGCCAGGCACTCAGGAAGTTAGGTCCGGTTAGCTTCACACAAAACAAATGTACCATAGCTGTCGCTTTGTCACGTTTTAATTTATATATATATATATATATGTATATATGTATATATATACGTCGTAGAGTTGGTAACACTGCTAAGAGTTTTACGAACAGAATATCCCTTTCCCCGTTATTCAGCTACTTGGCACCTGTCTCCTCATAAAAGGTTTCATATATTTGTACAAGAAATAGTTAAAAACACAGACACAGTCTTCACAGGTAATGAAGGTTTTTTTTTTTTCATTTTGTAATTTTAACATTATGGATTTAGACAGCAGCTGTGATTATCTGTTAGTTTAAATCACCAGAAGTCATATTGACACAACACAGAAACATTTATAAAAGAAAAAAAACAGCTGTCTAGCTGTTCTTTATAGCTGATAGGTGCATTCCTTTGATTGTTCAATAGCTAGAGTAGAGCTTCCAAAATTAATCTTTAAATTTCGTGATTAGCCTCCTTCACCTTCTAAAACTATTAAATCCTTCAACTAAGCTCACTATTAAACTCTGTGGTATTTCACTTCATTTTGCCATTATTCCACTGTGGTTAGGGCCCAACTCACGGAATTCAAGGTCCTAGAGGAATTCACTCAACACAGTGATATTCAAAGGACAGCTGAGTTACTATAGTAGCATTGCACGCATAAACAAATATATATATATGACAATTCTATATTCCATATACCCTCCCCTTCTGTTTTTTTAAAAAAAATGTTGGTTGACCTTTGAAATAGTTTTCTGTCTCACTGGTAATCACTTGATATATTGCTCCATTAGCCAACCTGGAAGGAAACCAAAGAAAAGCACCCACTGCTTATAGGTAGAGCACAAGGGACTCTGGGAATGTTAACAACTGAGGCTGTATGGCATCAATTGATTTAGTAAATCTGAGCATTATTCTTCAGTGCTTTGAGGTGCACTCCAGAAGAAAGAGTCATACCCAGAATTCCATGTGGGAAAAAATGGCTCCATTAACCTTGAGCTAGTTAAGAGTCTTTTTATCTCTGAGAATGAAAAAGATTTTGGAGAAGGAAGGAAGGAAGGAGGGGGGAGAGGAGAGGGAAAGGGAAAGAAAGGAGAGGTTGGGAGAATATACACCAGCAAAGCAACAGCAGGAATTTTAAAAAAGTGAAACGGAAGGTTCACAGACAGTAGGAGCAGCATAGGGGTGACGTCACAGAGGAAGGCCACCACACGAAAACCACTAACCCCCAAGAATCACGGATTCACTAGGACTGCGGGAATGGGACTGGGCCACTCCGGACTAGAGAGAGAGCACAGAGAAGACAAAGGACAAAACAACTACATTAGCTTAGTATATACCGCATATAGAAACATACATTGAAACTGCAATGGACGACAGCCAAGGACACGTACACACTGCACACGTTACAATTCTCACATCTGTCGTTAGATGCCTTAACGAACAGCTGCCCAAATGGAGCGGAAGGAGAGTTTATACTCGACAGTCATTTGGAGTGTTTGACACTACACTGATTTCTGGCAACAAAGACAAAATAGGGTATTTTTTTCTTTTTCTTTTTTTTTTTGTACTTAATGTGCAGGTTTCAGTTGCAGTTATCTGTTTGAAGCTTATTAACCCATTCTTTAGTTTTAAACTGTATTGGTTCCAACCTAGAAATAAAAGAACCAAAGGGAAAAAAAATTCCATCAAATCAAATCAGTCCCCCAAAATACAACCTTCCTTTTTTTTTTTTAGCAAGAAATGAACAAAATTAAAACATGTTAAATATGTTTCCTTCTTCAAGTCTGAAGTGTTATTGAAGTTGCAAAAATTAGCCTCAGTTAGACTGAGAACATGAAAACAAAACAGCTCAACCCAAGGCAGTATGTACCTCAACTGCTCCTCAAATCAGTGTGACTGAGTTCTCCAAAAGCCCCTTTAAAAAGGGCTTTACTGACCCATTAAATTTAGTGTGAGGCTATGTTTGTTAGTTGGGAGGTAAAAAATTTTAAGTCCTGCAGCAAACGTTAATGAGGGCTTTGTCTTAACTAACCAAGGAGACTGCAGCAGCGGACTTCAGACCAGAAGACTTTTTCCTTTTTTTTCCCCCCAAAACCCAGCCCAGGAGCTGCATTTTGTATGAAGACATTACAGATTAATAAATGATAGCACCATGGTTTTAGAAATTAAGTTAATGTTTCAGTAATTAACATTTAGTCCAACTGTTTTTTTTTAAACATTCTAGTCACAGGCCAGAAATTAAGTTTAAGAACCCAAATTATTTTTATGTGCAAGTAAGAAAATCTTAAAATCTTAACCATAAAAAGAGAATTAAATTCTGCATAAAATTCTAAAATACTATCCCCCCTATTTTTAAAAGAATTAGGAACAAAAACAAAAGCCACCCCAATTCATTTGACTTAGTCAAACAGGGCATATTGTTTATGCTTTTGTCTCTTTCAATCTTGATCACATCAAGATCTTTGTGAAGAAAAACCCAATGGCGGTCACTTGAAAAAATCTCTTGACCACAAGACTGAGTATTCCATGGCAGAGGCATATACACATTAAAGACACCTTAACAAAGATGCAAAGGAAAGCAAAGCAACCCAACACACATCTTAGGAGACGACAAAATGGCAGGCAACTGGTCATCTGATCCTCTGAAGGCCAAAAACAAACACATCTTTACAGGAAAGAATAAGTCAAGTGAAAGAAAGAGGGAATGGGGTGGGGAACGTCGTGTCGAGAGAAGACGCTGACCTGCTCGAATTCAAAGTGCTAGAATTAAAGGTCTAAACGAAAAACGCCGACGATGCCTCCCCGTGGACCGCCCGCCTCAGTCGTCCTTGCGCTCCAGAGTCTGTGCCGCGTGGATGCCGTTGCTGTAGACGGGGAAGGGCAGCGTGGAGAAGAGTCCCTCCGCGGTGGTGAACACGTTGCCCGCGGGCATCTGCGTTAGGCTGGCCGCGCTCACGGCGCTGCCGAACGGTCCCGACATGTTGAGCCTGTGCACGTGGTGGTAGAGCATCTCCATGGGCGTCTTGGGGTCAAGGCCGAAGCCGGGGCTGTTAACGTCCACGAAGTTAACAGCGTGCGCGTTGGGCAGCAGGTTGCCCTGCATGGCCAGGGTCACCTCGGCGGGTGCGTAGCGGATGGTGCCCGTGGTGTAGACCCTTTGGGCGGCCGTGCTGGTGGCCGCCAGGGTCCCGGTCACCCTGTGCACCAGCGGGAGCACGACGTTGCCAGCCTGCAACCTCTGCAGCGCCTCCAGGTCCCCAGTGTACAGCAAGGAGTTGGACGCGCTGGGGCCACTCCCGCCGCCCCCGCTGCCGCCCCCGGGGTGCTTGTCCCGAGGGGACGCCGAGAGCGGCGGTGACAGGGGGTCGGAGGCGACGGGAGCCAAAGCCGTGGTGGCCGAGGCGCTGAACTGAGTCTTGCGGGCGGCCGCACCGTCGGCGCCCGGGGGGGTGAGGACCGAGTCCGGGATGGCCACGTGCAGGCCCCCGCTGCCCCCGCTGCCGCCGCCGCCCTGCGGGGACGGGAAGTGCTCGGAGCTGGGGGGCTTGGTCATGCTGTAGGGGGACTCGTTCCTGGAGATCTCCCGGTTGGGCGGGTAGTTCCAGATGCTGCTGTCGTTGTCGAAGTTGATGGGTTCCGAGATCTCCGTCTTGATCTTGAGCACCGAGGCACTGTTGGGGGAGGACAGCAGCCGCGGGGGCTCCACCAGGCCCGCGTCCAGGCCGCCGGGGCTCGAGGCGCTGGACAGGCGCCTCCGGCTGGCGCTGCCACCCTTCTGCCGTTTCCGCCTCTTTTTGCGCTTCTGGTGCTTGCTGGGGGCCTGCGCGCCCGCCTCGGCCGCGCTGTCCGAGTCCTTGGCGCTGTCCGACGTGAGCGACTCGCAGTTCTGCAGCCTCAGGTCCGACTCGCTCTCCACGTAGCGCTCCACCTTGATCTGCATGGGGCCCAGGGCCCCGAAGCCGTCCTCGCCGGCCTTGGGATTCTCAAAGTCCGAGTGCTCGAAGCTGTCGTCGCTGTCGCGGCTGTCAGGATTGCTGGAGCTGTGGCCTTGGTCGTTGCAGTTCATGTCCTGGTCGCAGGTGTTGCCCGACTTTTTCCGGTCGGGCTCCGGGTCTTCGCTGTTCTCAGACTGGTTCCCCTTCTCGTCGGACTTGGAGTTCTCGTTGTCCTCTGTGTGCGGGTGGGGGGTGGTGGGCGCGGGGAGAGGAGAGGAGAAAAAGGAAACACCACATTAATGGGGCAAGACCGGTCTCTCGCCGGCTGGGGGGTCCTGCGGGAGAGGTCGTGTCCCCCTCCTGAGCTTCTCTACCACCTCCCTTACTTAGAGCCTGGGCTTTTTTTCTCGAGGGCCTAGATTCGCTGACCTTGACTCACAGTGCGGCTCATGGGTCAACAGCACCAGCCCGACCGGAGACTTGTTACAAATGCAGAATCGCAGGCCTCCACCCAGACCTACCGAATCAGATTTTGTACTTGACTAAGATCCCCAGGTGATTCAGGCACATTCCGTTTGAGAAGTCCTGCAGAACTACTCGGGGACTTAGGGTAAATAATCTGGAATAAGGTGTCAGGGGCACACAGAAATGATGGTGTGCAAGGTGATTTTCTAAAGAGGGCATGCAGTTTCCACTGGTGACTACTTGTTCATCGAAAACCACACTCTGTTCCTAAAGTTTCTTTAATTTTTATTTTTTAAAGATTTCATTCATTTCCTGAGGGAGGAGGAGGAAGAGAGAAGGAGAGGAGAGAATCAATGTGTGGTTGCTTCTCCTGCGCCCCCTACTGGGGACCTGGCCCACAGCCCAGGCCTCTGCCCTGACTGGGAATGGAACTGGTGACCCTTTGTTTCACAGGCCAGCACTCAATCCACTGAGCCACACCAGCCAGGGCCTGAAGTTATTTTTCTCTATAGCATTTATCACCATCAGATTCACTGTATGTTTTACTTAATTTTTATTAACTTTCATCTCCTCCAACTATTGCCCCTCCATGGGGCAGGGGATGTTTTTTCGTTTTTGTTTACTGTATAAACGAGGAGCCGAGGCTTTCTGTTCTAGAACTTCCGATGAATGCAATTTAGGAGGCAGGAAAACAGATCCTCCGTGAGGGCTCCTCACCTCCTTTGCCTCCTTTGTTTTGTCTGGAGAGGAAGGATATGTGTTTACACACCTGGGGAGCAGGTGTCCAAGGAAGGGGAGTGGCAGCTGGGCCCCTAGCCATTCAATATATTTTACATTTTAAGAACAATAGATTCTCCTGGTAATACAACCTCAGGAGATTTAGGGACGATGCTGGTTTTCTGGTTCTGCTATGATACATTTGGGTGGCAGCCAGGACCAGCACCTTGGACAAATCATGTAACCACTCTATGATTCGACATGGGAACGCATGGATTTATTTCACACAGATTCAGAAAAAGAGTAACAGTCCAGCATCGAGTCATTTACCAATGTCATTAAAATATCTGACTCTAGAGGCTCAATTCCAGCTTGGTGAGGATGTGAATATTTGGGGTGCCAAGTCAGAGTCTGCCTTGGAGCACCACTGACAGACAGTCCTGCTGTCTGCTTCTGATACAGAGGCCAGAGTTAGCTGTGGGGTCAGGGCAGGGCCCCTTCTGTATGGCCAGTGAGGGGCTGACATGAAGTACATTTGTGTACATACATTTATACACCACAGCATACCTATATCTATGTGTATAAATATACACAGCATACATATATATTTATACACATAAATGCATGTATACATTCCCAGCACATACATACATGTAAGTATTGTGTGTACACAATACACACACGAGTGTGAAGGTCTGTCCAGGAAAAGTCCAGCCATCGTTGATATGATGTGAATGGTTTGTGTGACACCGATGTAACCTGGCAGCCAAGGAGAGTGGACTGCAATGTGCGTGTGGGGACAGGGACGACCTCTCTGTACTAGTCAGGGTGGGTGGTAGATGCTGTGGAGTGAGCATGTGGTTGCGGCATTCAAAATGCCTGAGCAAGTACAGCAGTGAATCTGCATCAAATTTTGCGTTAAGCTTGAACATTCCTCCACAGCAACTACTGGGATCATTCAGGAGGCCGCAGCCGTGGGCAACCGGTGACTGGCATCTTCATTATGACAATGTGCCCACTCATGCATCTTGCCTCATAGAGGCAAAACTCATAGAGTTTTTTGGCAAAACATCATTTATCATCCAGGTGACTCAATCCTCCTATAGTCTAGATTTGGCACCCTGCGACTTCTGGCTTTTCCCAAAACTACAATCACCTTTGAAAGGCAACAGATTTCAGATCATTAATGAGATTCAGGAAAATACGATGGGGCAGCTGATAGCAATTGGGAGAACTGTGTGAGGTCCCAGGGTGTCTACTTTAAAGGGGAGTAAGGTGTCCTTGTCCTATGTACAACTTTTCTTGTATTTTATATCTTCAATAACTGTCTCTATTTTTCATATTACATGGATGGGTACCTTTTGGATACACACACACACAGGTGTGTGCATAGGTGTGTGATGGTGCACGTGTGCGGGTTTAGAGAGAGAGAGACTCAGTACTAACTTGATGTCATATGTCTCCATATGAAATCCGACCAGTTTCTGTGCTCTGACAGTGCCCCTTTGGCCAACACCCACCCCTCGTGTCTGGAAAGGCATGCCGTAACTACAGAACATGGAGAAGTAGTAATACCTGTAATACCTGAGGTGTCTTTAGAGTCTGATTCAGAGTCAGAGGTCTCCGAGGATTCTGACGTCTTCTCCGGCAGATGGGGGAGCTGGGCGATGTCCATAGGCGTGTCCTTGTACTCTGGGTTACTGCGGGAGGGAGGCACTCGTCAGGCACGCAGGCACCCGTGCTGCATGGTCTGCTTTTGACCATCTTCTCCCTACTTCCTTGCCCCAAACTTGGAGTTTAGAGAGTTTAAACAACTATACATGAAATCATGTCTCAGCTCATCACAGGACTTTTACAGAAGCTTGGACTGTATGTGCAGGGGTGCAGGTGCACCCCACTACAATGACTGAATAGCCAAACATGAAAGCCACTGAAAAGCTTTTAAATAATTAGGTGCTACTGGAGGCCAGGGAACTGTGCTGCTTCACATTCCTCCTGGTATAACACCTGGTGGGGGGCAGGGGAGGGTGAAAAGTACTCTGAACAATTCACTCCCACACCTCCGGGTACGCCCTGTCTTCTCTCAGGCTCCTAATGAGGCCATTGCCTCAGTGCCCTTATCTTGGCTCCCTGATGGAGCTTCTCAGTTATTCTGATGGCTCCAACGCTGTGGGAGGTGGGGACAGAAACCTTGGCACCTAAGATCTGACAGATGCACAGGTGCACCTTGGGATGCATGCATTATGGCTACTGAACTGTCAACACACCCATTACAATCACATTTTCATCTGCTCATGTGGTGTACACCTGTAGCTTGTTAGCTGGAAATCTGATTGCAGTGGGTAGAGTCCCAGAGTGAGAGAGGCCCTAACAGAATTTATCTAACCCCACTTGCACAAATGTGTTTAATTTTTGTTCTATTTTTAGTTCAGGAACAAGCCTCTTCTGGAGAAGTTGGAGTTAGCTATCTCCTAGAAATGCCACTCCAGGGCTGGCCCAAGGGCTGAGCGGTGTAGGCTGCTAAAATGTGAAGCCGCCAGGAAAGTCTCTTGCCTCAAAATGGAAAATGCCTCTCCTATCCTTCCATAATGGTTAGCTAAGCAGAGTCTTACGAGAGATGATTACTGACTCATTTGCTAATTTCTAGGGAAATTCCTAGATTAAAGAGTCAGTGTTTTTGTAACTAAAACTGCAAGTGTCCCTGGGAAGGTTAATTCACAAAGATGGATTATCAGGCATTTGCTCCTTAGTGTGAGTTAACTTCAGTGGCTGAGCTTTCTCTAGATAATCAGATGAGACGAAGGGTGGAAAGGCAGACCTAGCACAAATGTAGTCTCCCACTACTCTGAGCCTGTAAACCGACCAAGCCTTTCAAGGGAATGGGAAGAAGACTGGGGAGTAATAAGTTCAGAACTGAGAAGAACAAGCCTGGATGGGGCCTGGAAATGAGGTATTCTGAGTAGCAAGACAGAGCATGACAGTACTGCTCAGGGAAGAACAAAGAAAAGGAATGTGGGAAAGAATTACAAACTTCAACAGTTACTGTTTGCCAAGACTAGGTCCTTTTCTTACTGGATCTCTAGCCCATAAAAGTGATACCAACGAGTGACTACTTCAGGAAGTTTCTTCTGATGGAGCCCACCTAGATTAGTCTCCTTTGGTCCAGACAGCATGGAGGTTATAAGTCACTTGTCATAGAACTTCACAGTCTGTTATACTGAGCTTGAGGTGAGACTTTAGGTTAGGTGAAACGGGTCTAGTGTATCTGAGATTGAGCTCTTGAGCCTGAAGACTTGTCTTTCATACCCAAACTGATTTTTTCTCTCCATATGTCATTAGGTGGACTCGGATCAGCAAACACTCATGAGCTTGTGCCAAGTGGTCCTAGGTTAATCTAACGGTGTTGATCCAAAGTTGCGTTGACTGACCTCTCCTTAGCCATTCTCATGCCCTTTGTCTGGCGGCAGAGTAGGAAGTCATGAGGCTGACAGTGTAGTGAGGGAGACCCAAATAGGAAGAAATCTCCCTGAATGGGAGTCACAACCACCCAGATTGTTTTAGTGCCCCCGGGTACTTCGGCATGGGGGACAGATGTCTTCTCATCTGTGGTGTCCTGTTACCTTGCCTAATTCTTAATAATATAGCATAACTCCATTTCTGCCTAGCAAAAGATCAACACTGCAGTACCTCATTCTGTTTTCTTTTGGCATGTGTTCATGACCTTCTGCATGAAGTACTGCCACTGCTCCAATAACCGCTTTGGAAAGGAGTTTCTTGATGTCACAAACACATGACTGCATGAAAATCAGGCCTTGGAGGAATGCACATTAAATACACATACCTTTAGAGAGAATTAATGTAGAGTAGAGGAGGTCAGAAAAGGAAAGAGAAAGTAGATAAATGAAGACTCTTTTAAGTGGTGCACATTAAGGCCCTCCCCAGAGCAATAATCATTAGTGTTTGATTGATATGCTATTGGTAGCAAGCACATCCATGCCTTCAAGTCCTCACCAATGCGCAGGAGCGCAAGCCAAGGGTCAGTGTGCTGATGAGCCGTGGTTGTCAGCATCTCAGCTCCATTTGGTTGTCTTAAAGAAAAATGGCATTCGAGTACTCCCTGTCTAAATTATCAGCCAAAGGGCAACAACTTCCATTTATAAAACCTATTGGAAGTTTTCCTATTCGGACCATGTGTGGGCCCTGCTTGGTGGCTGCAGGCCAAGAGAAGCCAACGACTGGAATGACTGTGGTGGGAGGGGACCAGGCCGAACATTTGGAGAGCTCCATGGCAGGATTGGTGGAGAAGCGCCCAGGAAGCCTGGCCCCAAACACAGACCACCAGGCTCTGGTCTCGATTCCTTTTTTTTTTCCTAGTTTGAATCCAAAGGCAGAAAGTGAGAAAGGATTGAGAAATGGTCTCACACACTAGAATTTAGGAAGCTGTTGAGTTTGGCCGCCTTCGTGGATGTAAATTTGAGGATGCATTAAAACAGCTGTAAAGCTTGCCTGAGATCACAGAGCAGGCAAAAGAAGATTGTCTTCATTTTTATACTGATGTTATCTTGATTCCAGCAAAGCAAGCCACTTTGCTTACCACAACTTCAACGTCTAGGCAATCAAATGCTCTGTAATATGCTGAGGACTGCAAAGGGCTGTAATACCCTAAAATGTACCCTACCACTTCTTTTTCATCTCCTTTTGCTTAATTTTAACAAGGATCGGAGCATGCAAGGACGTGTGCATGCAGTGGGGGAAGGAGATGCCCTTGCAGCCTTTAGCTTTAGGCAAAAGTCTATGTTCTTTTTACAGCCTGAGCATTTGTGGAGAAACCAAAGCAACCTCTGCAGAGCTGCTCAAATGCTGACAGACCAAGAAGTATCAAAAGTGTTGTGAATCAATCCTGAAAGGCCCTTCCAACATAACTTTGATTTTTACACATTTTTTAAAATCTTGCGGAAAGAAAAGGAGAATTTCCACTTAATTCTACACCAGATACTGTCAAAAGATAATATCACATGTCAATTATTAACCATTAGGCCGTCTAATGGTTAATAATTATAACGGAAACAGAAGCAAAGTAGAATTAGAAACTATACCTAAGAAGATAATTCACCCAGATGATGTTCTTCTCATTTGCGTTCTTGGCATTAATAGCTATGGTGGCGCTAGACTGTATCCAGATATAGCCTCCGTTCTTCTGCATCCAGCGGTAGTACTTCGTCACACACTGGCCCTTATTCAGCACTAGGGGTGAAAACAAAGTGAAACAGAACAGAAAGCACTGCGTATTAAGACGGGGACCAGGTGATCTTTGTCTGCAAACTTCAAGCTCAGAGAGGGGAGGCCCTGCACTAAGCCAAGGTGCCCCGCTCTATGCCTGCCGGAGACTGCCATTAGTAGGACAAATACAATCAGCAATTCAGTGGAGCAGCATCTCCCTCGTGAGGGTTACTAGCATGTGCAGCAAGACTTTGTTCCGGTTTGGGAAGCCATGGTGTGAAAGGGAGAAGAAAAGGACTACAAATCTTTGTGGCTCACAGAACACCTAATGCAGTGTGGGTATCATCAATGGGTTTGACATTAGATGGTAAGGAAGGTGAATGTACATGGATTTATTCATCGCTTCGAGGTAGACCTCGTTGAGATTCTGGCTATTTGAGTGGTTCTGAAGGTGCTTTAGCCCTCCGACTTTGATCGTTCACCCCAGTGCAGCAGTATCAGCCTGCGTCCTTATGTATCTGTTCCTTTTGATCTTGTGTAGCAGAATTCACAGTCCACGTATGAGCTAAATTTACATCGGCCAGGCCGGGGAAATTCTGGTGGGACGTTATGGAATGCTGGAACAAAACAAATCTCCCAACCAAGTCACAGAGAAACGCTGGCCTGAGGGAGGCACAGAATTGATTTGACTGGAGCCAAACAGAGTGACAGCTCCACACAGTCTCTGAAATATGGCCCAAAATGAAGGAACAAGTAAAAACAATCAGTAATGTGAAACGATGCCATTAAATACCCACTGAAAGAGAGCTTTAAAATGCAGATGTTAAAAATGATACTTTAACCAAAATCTTGCCAAGTCGAAATTGATTTGATTTGTATCTAGGTACTCCTGAGCTAGTAAAGGGGGAAAGTGCAGTAAATCATCCCTGAAATAAAGTGCTTTGGATGAGAATGGTTTAAAATGATGCCGGAAACGTGCAGAACCTGATGCTATTGCTTGGATACGCATGGCAGCAACTCCACACCCCCCAGAAGCGCGCCAGCCGGCTGGCCACTAGAGGGCAGTGTGCACTCGTCCACGTTTCCCACTTTTGGCATGTCCTTGTCTCCGTCTGCTAAAATGAAAAAGCTCTAACTGCTGTAATAAATTTGACTAAATTAGCTGCTAAATGGTTATCTCAAGTAATATGTATTTGCATTAATCATCTTGCTCTAAACCAGAACAAGCCAAAGTCCTAAAGACGTAGTAAATTCATATTGTCCATTTAATTACGGCTAATAAGTGCTTCATATACAATAGTTTCATGAAGTACATTTTGATTTTTTTTTTGGAGGGGGACATAGATGAGTAAAGGGAAGTCACTTTCAAGAAGAGCTGTGTTTCAGGCTGTTGTAGCTCTTTCCGTTGTGTCTGAGCCACTCTCCCTGGCTCCGAAAGTGATCAAGAATCAAACCTTCACATATCATACACAGAAACCTAGAAACTTCGATGCTTTTCTCCCATTCTTCCTTTTTTTCCTCACCACACACTAAATGGATGGTTGTAAAATTGAATAGTTATGTCATAACAGTTGTTTGAAAAAGCCTTGCTTTGATGAGTGCTTCAAGTAGCGGCAAGTTCTATTCCGTAACTACTGGCCAGTTTAGGGCATTTTTAACGCCCAGAGCTGTGATCTGCTCCTGGCGGCAGGGCTCCACAGGTAGCATTGTGCTCTGCCTTTGTCGGCGGTGGTTGTAAGTTCTGCCGTTCTGCACGCGTGGCGGGCTACAGGGCTTCATGGCGAAGCTGAAAGCAGGAAAATTCGAACTCTGTCACAAGGCTCTTCTGTCAAACCATTGTTGCATGCAACAAGATGTGCTTTTATTCAAATATGCTCATCCTGGTTAACTGTTAATAGAGGAATGATGGGTTGTGAAATTCTGCCCAACATTTTCAGAGAGAAAAAAACAGATAGCCTCAGTCAGGGACTGGTATGTGATTCTATCAGCTGTGTATCTGGAATGAGGAATAATTTCAAATAGTTCTAGTTATTTAACAAAGGCAAAGAGGCTAAGAAGCCCCTGTTTTTGAATCACATGAAGAAAACATTGAGATAGCAGGCCACTGAAATGTCTGGGGATTCTGGATTTCTGAGTGAAAGCAGGCAAATTTAAAATATATGTGTGTGTGTATCTCCCCAAAATATGGTAGATTAAAAAGGGTCAATGTGAAAAAGGAATTAAAGTCAAATTAGAATGTGCAGAATCAACATAAAGATCAGTTTCTCTTACTAAAAACAATCGAACAAACACACAAAGTCTCAGTTCAGAAACACATGGCCAGCCAAACATTCTGCCTCCATAGTGGGATCCACGTATAAGCTATGAAAGGCGCTGAAAGGCTTATTTGTTAAAAGACTGAAATGATGGAGTCATCTTTTCGAGTTAAGGCACCATGACTCTTGTTCTGTTTAGGTGCACCTGTGTCTCCTGAGAAGAAAAATACAAATTTATTAGGGCTCATGAATAAACTAATACACCCTTCCTTATCTCCCAGGCCAAGGGCCATTTGGCAAAGGGAGGAGATCTAATGAAAGAGAGGCCAGGTCAGTTTTGACGTGAGGAGGTGGTTGTGAAAAGACTGACCAGTAAGGGAATACCGTGGGCTTCCTTGGGGAGACAGGAGCCCCAAGGTGTTCCTGGTTTCTTGGGTGTTCAACTTACCATGGTGAATGCCACAAAGCAGATCCGGGACCCTTCCCTGGCTGGCTGAAGAAAAGTTTGACCTAATCCATTCACTTGCCCCGGGGCCAGCCTGGCAAACAGAATTCTTAAGAGGAAGACATTCTAGCATGGTCTTAGATCAGGACTGTTTCCTGAGGATTTGTGTTTTCTGAGTGAGACCCCATGCCAGTGGGAACCTACATAACTCGAGGTTAAGGCATTGAGTGAGCTCCCACTGTGGTAGGAAAGGATGACCCAAATATGGCCCCAGCTGCTTTTGTTTTGGGGTCCCCTGAAAGATGCCATCATGGATTTTGATTTTACTTCTTTTAAAATGAAGAAGGAATGATTTTTTTCTTGGGGCTTCAAAATATAAATTTATGACTTTGAGATGAAGCCTCTTTCTTTCTTTTCTTTTCTTTTTTTTAAAATCATACTGGCAAATCAGTTGGATCCTTCCAGCTGTGCCAGAGGCAGGATCTGACGCTTTTCCTGAGCTCATGTGGTCCTCCTAATCAGCTCAAGAAGAAAAGCCACCTTGGTGCCAGTTGGAAAGAGATTTTTAGTTTGTAATAAATTAGACAAACTTGAAGAACACAAGAACTTTTTTGATTCTCTTTAATCCAATGGCTGTTGTTTTATTTTTGAGTTTTAGCTTGAGATAGAGGGAAAATGGGAGGATCTTTATGTTGCTCTATTTCATAAAATCCCCTTTTTTGGGTGTGGAGAAAAACAGAAATAAGCATTACATAAGTAACTTCTGAAAGTCCTTAAAAGAGAGTTTGTCCCTTGAAAAGAGATGGATCCTCATCAACCCAATGAGCCCAGGAGTGATTTCATGGCAATGTGCTCAGACTATAAAAAGAGGAAGAAAAGAGAGAGGAAATATGTATGTAGGTCATATCTGTAATTCTACATCACGTTGTGCTCAGACATTTTGCCCAGCACCTTCTTTTTGGTTTATAGCAAAGTTTACTTTTGGCTTTCCAAAATTTTTGGTGGCACAGCCCACGTGTCCCTCACTGGATCCACTAATTACATCATAACATCCATAGAATTATGTCTTTAAAGCTGTGCTATCGGAATGAGTTTGTTTGAGGATCCCCAAACATTTAAATGACCTTTTGTTAGGTTTTACAGGGTAACCAGGAATACGCAGGGCGGACGAGTATCTCTTCCCCAGGTTCACTCACTGAGAGGCTCAAATGGCCCCAGGTGTGACTGTGTCTGCCTCTGCTACCGCACAGGAACGTATTCCTTTTTACCCTGAAGTCTAGGGTGTAACCAATTGCTTTGGGCTGCCATTGCTCTGAGGAAAACCACAAAATGGTCATCAGTGCCACCCTGCCTTCCAAGCTAAAGGTGCCTTTCAGTTACCAACTGTGCTTTTCAGAGGACGGAGGTGACTCCACTGAGAAAAGAATATAGCAGACGCCTAGAGCCTTAACTCCTCCCGGTTGAAAGGTTCCAGCCCCACTCATTTGATGATTTTTGACTATTAGCAACACCATCTACCCCTAACTGTGAAGGGGGTAGCAAATACAGTTCAATCATAAGAAAAGAGCAGAGAGCTAACATAGAACATATGACCGAACACGTGACCTTCCCCCCACCCCACCCCCAGCTGCCTCCTCCAAAGACTGGGCGCTCAGTTTTATTGAGTGTCTTTTTCCAATGTCACCAGGTCTCTTGGTTTGAGCTCACAGGGATGCAGGGAATGCAGGGATGCTGGAGAGAACAACGACCGCCCCCCAGTCTGATGTCCACGGTGCTGCACAGTTCCCCACAGAAGGAGTTTCAGTTTTCTTTGGGAAAACTTCGTCCACAGAGATGGACTGATGACTGAAAGCACATAAAGGAAGCCTGTGTCTGTGGCAGGGACATGATTCTGTTAGTAAATCAAAACAAATCGGTCCAAGTTTGCCTTCAGAAATATGGAGAATAAAAGAGAACATGGTCTCTTCCTGTTGGGCTGTTCTACCAAATCAAAGCCAAAGACTCTAAATAGTGAGTTGCTTGTGTCTTGGAAAGAAGGAAGCAGTCTCACTCAGTTTGAAGAGGAGATGAAGAACACGTATCAAAAGCGGCCTTTTAGCAAAGTGTCTCACAAAAGGACATTTTAGTGGTTTGCATATGCATTAAAAAGCTGCAATACTTGGCGTATTCAGGTAAGTATAGAATAAATAGGAAATGGTGAGATCATCAGAGGGAGATTTCACACTTCACATTCACAGAGCCGAACAAAGAGCTTCATTATTGTCACGGCGATAGGAGGACACATCTGCAGTGCCACTCACCCCTCCTTGAGGTACCTTCATCAA